TCATGCTGATATAGTCTCATATCAAGTAAAGTGAATGGTATTTTGTCTTATTATACATGCCATCCTCAGAAATAGTCGCTTTTGGTTTTTCCCTTTCATTATTCACGTTTACGTTTCCTTTCCTACTGTTATTGTCATCAAATTGCTTAAATCTTTATTGCTTATGTGAGTTCAAGGATCTCAGTTTATGCATACGTGTGCTAGTGTTTTTTTCTTTACACTTACATCAGCGTTATCCAGAACTAATTATCTATGCTTTATGTGGTATCGACAGAAATTAAGAAGGCTTTATTGCTTATGCATGCTTTCGTGCTATGCCTGAAAGTGCACTAAGTCTGGATGATTGTAGACAAATTTCCTTTCCATAAGTCATGTAATCATAAAACTTAGGATATTACTAGGCAGCGGGAGCTGTTTTCGGCAAATTCACTTGGAAAGCTAGACCCGGATCTACGGCCGCGTATGTGGCAGCATGTAATCGGCGGTTATAAATGAGTGCTTGCAATGTGTATAGGTGGCTGCCTGCGTGTGCTTTCAAACACCAGCATAAGCAAACAGAAGCAGTGAAGAGTTGAGCGAGGTTGAGGGCGACGACAAGCAGGGCCACCGGACGGGGGAAGCACGGGCCTCTGGCCGCGCCGCCGCTTCCTCTCCGAAAGAATCATTGAAATTTCGTCATCCTCGTGTTTTTAATGCTCATCGGCGCTTGAGAACGCTTCTTATCGCTAAACTCGCGTTCTCTGCTATTTTGAGTCATAACGTATTTTTGTAACCAAAGTGCTAGTTTCCTCAAGACGCCTTCATCCTCCAACTCTTAATTAAAGTTAAGTGCGCTGTCTTTGGAAGTGTACTTTACCGCTATAATATTCAAAGAGGCACCCTTCTCTCTGCCATCTTTAATCCGATTGCACATTGCTTTACTTTTAGTGATTTCGAAAGCGGCTCTTGCGTTTGCTCCTTATTATTGTTAAAGTAAGCAAGAATGTCGTACTTTAAGATCTCATTTTCACATTTAAGAGTGAAGACCATCTCAGAACTTCTGTGTGGTAAAATGTACTGTACAGCTACTATTAAAAGTCTCGTTTTACCTTTAAAGCCCATGAAATTTTGTGATCTACATTCATTTCATTTCATCCACTCTAACTTTCCTATTATAAAGGACATGGAGATTTAATTTGATTTAATATCATTGGCTCTT